GGGGCGGATCTGGCCCACAGGCTGGGGATTGACCAAGCCTGGTCAAGAGGAAGTGGGGAGGATGAGTAACCCAAGAGATTCAACGTCTCTAAAAGTACTAAACCTGCAGAGGACAAACCTTAAGTGATTGCTGCAAACTATCCTAAAGACCTGCAGGCCCCCCTCATCTCATTGCAGTGACAGCCCCCCCTGCCTTCCCCCCCTATAGCTCTGCCACAGTTCAGCACATCCCTGCCTAGCACAATGATCACAACAAGAAAGCTCAAGTAAAAACTCTGTAGTTCAAACCTATGAAGCAGCACAAACACCAGCACGGCCCCTGAGCCAGCCCTCCCGCCTGCTTGTTACAGCACTCACCTGACTGTACCTGAACTGGGAAGAGGCTGTGTTCAGACCAGCAGGGAGCAGCATAAGGTTGCATGCAGTGCTGGTATGTACCTCAGCTATGCCTTGCCAGGTTAAGTTGAAATTAACTGCTCTCATCCTCCTAGAAGGGCACAGGGCAGCCTGGGGCCACCTTAACTCTGTGGTAGCAACATTTGTGGGCAGTTAATGTAGGAGAAATTAATTTCTGAGATTTTGGAGATTTCTGAACACTACTGGCTTGTCCTTCCATGGACACAGGAAATGTCATACACCAGGCAGCCCAGCAGCAATTATAAGAAATGATCCTTCAATGAAGAAAACTAGGTGATCTGATATAGGGGTGTCAAACATACAGCCCACAAGCTGGATCCAACCTGAAGATGCAGGTAAGTTTGATACCCTTAATCTAATGCATTTTGCCATGTCCATGGGCAACCTCTGTCATGCATGCCCCAAGTGACACAGGCAGCCTCTGTGAGTGACATGCGGCAGACTGGCAGACTGGCAAGGGGCAAGACAGCATGGCATCAGATAGGGCAGGGAGCAGAAAGCAGAGCAGTGGATTGGGCAAGGGAAGGGGACTGGAGGTACAGTCAAGGAGGGTACTGGGTTTAATCTGTGGCATGTCTAGCCCCACCAGCCAAGGATTTCTGATTAAAGCTGCTATTTGACTGCTGCCGGCAGGAATGATAACAGTGTATAAAACTTAAATATTCACACTGTACATACAATACATTCTGTAAACACAACTGTCTGTTTTCAGTTTCATTTAAACATTTATTACGATGAAAACAGAGAAGAACAAATTTAGTGGGCGATAATAAGCCCCAGGGCAGCTGCTGGCATATCAAAAGCAGCTTTAGAAAAGTGTCTGGCTGGGCTCCAGGATGGACAGCAGAAGGACGTTCATTATGGTAGTGGTTTGTAGGGAAGCTACTCCTCTAAGCAGCTTTCTTAAAGACCCAGAGAAAAATGAAACTTTTACTTTTGAGAAGATCATGTGATTTCCAGGAAAGGAAGTCCTATGTATGGGTAGGTGCAGTAGAAACCACTTGCATCACCACGGGCCGGACTGGAAATAGGTTCTGATAAGGTTTCATGTTTTTGTTTTATTAAACCCTCCCATTCTGGAAACGTTGCACCCGCTGATTGGCTGTGCCCTGAGCTGGAGCGTGCCAGCCAACTATAAAAGGAAGCATCTGCACCGTGCACTCTTTGATACTATTGCAACAACTCACAGACACCCCTGGTAACATCCTTTGGGAACAGCAAAGGTAACCAATCTGGCTGGGTGCTGTTTTGTTGTTTCCTGCTGGTGCTGATCACTGATCAGAGCTGGGGAGGAGAAGAGGAAAAAATTAATCACAGCTACATGGGGTTGTCTTTTTCTCCATTCTTTGCAAATAACTAAATGCTTTTTGTTTACCTTGTTCTTGTCATCTTGCAGCAAGGGATTTGAGTGGATGCCAAAAGAGCAAAGGTTGGCTGGATGTCCCAGAGTGGCATGTTGGCTCTGTGTGTGTGTGTGTGTGTGTGTGTGTGTGTGTGGATGCTGAAATTCAGATGTTTTGCCATTGATTTCAGCAGCACACTGCTTAAAGCCATTCTTTTGTAGGCAGATGATGACTTGCTTGGGAAGATTTCCCTCCTAACCTTCATAATTCCTGGTTTAGTTTACAAAAGTTTAACAGGCACCTGCTCCCCCTGCCTGGTTTCTGTGGCTGGCAGGGGTAGCTGCCACAGATAGTTCACCTGGTTCAGTAAAGGGCTTTGAGCTCCATGGGGGAACACATAAGTTGCATGCACAGATGTGCTAAATATACAGTGACAGGTCAGCCTGCAGTGGCTTTCTCTCTATGGATTTTGTCAGACTCTGCTAACTTGCAGGGGTTTTGCAATGCAGTGAAGGGAAGCGTGGAGGAAGTCACCATACAGATGTTTCAGGATACCTCATATGCAGTCTGGGTGGCTACTGTTACATCCCGGTTACATTGGTTACTCAGTGTGTGTGTTTATGTGCTTCTGTTGTGGGAGCACTTTCAAAGAGGCCTTAATTGAAGCCTTGCTGACATGGGTTACAAACTGTATCCCCAGTAACTAGATGGGGAAAGGGGGTAGAGGACATGGGTGCGTGTCTCTGTGGCTTGATTATGATCCTGGTGGAAGATAGTGGTAGAATCATTGCTAGAACTTGGGATCTCCTAACCTCAGGTTTTAACGCCTTCATGGTATCTGTATGCAGTGCCAGGCCTGCATGTCACCAAGATGCAGCAGGCTGCCACCTGGTGGATTTAGCAACAAATTAGCCCCTCTTGGGACTATCCCACAGCATACTTCTACTGAAAACTGGTGCTAGCTCAACTCAACTAGAGGAGGAAATGGGACCAGGCAGGATTGGTTTTAGGATAATAGTCAAATAGGGCCACTGGTATGATCAAGGGACAGCAGGGTAGGTCCTATGAGGAAAGGTTGCGGGACCTGAACCTGTTCAGCCTTCAAAAGAGAAGGCTGAGGGGGGATCTTGTGGCCTGTTATAAACTGGTTAGGGGGGATCAGCAGGTGCTGGGGGAGTCCCTGTTCCCCCGAGCGCCGCAAGGAGTGACCAGGAACAATGGTCACAAGCTGGCGGAGGGAAGGTTTAAGTTGGACATCAGGAGGCGCTACTTCACGGTCAGGGCGGCTAGGGTCTGGAACCAGCTTCCAAGTGAGGTGGTGCAGGCTCCCACCCTGGGGGTTTTTAAGAGGAGGTTGGATGACCACCTTACTGGGGTCATTTGACCCCAGTCCTCTTCCTGCCATGGCAGGGGGGCAGACTAGATGATCTGCTCAGGTCCCTTCCGACCCTAGAAACTATGAAACTATGAAATAAATCAGAGAAGACAGGGTTACACAAGTGGCAGATTTTTTTTCTTAGACTCAAGGCAGTCCAGGGATTAGTAAATGCATCTCCTCCTCTGTGTGTTTGAAGTACAGCAAAAGCTGTGTTAATCGCCACTTTATTAGCCTGAAAAGTCCATTAACCAGCATCCGAGGGACGTGGCAAAAGCGAAACTGGAAATACCACTTCCGGGGGACTTCCCGTTTCGCTGCCGCGAGCTGAGTTTTCCTTTGCCACTTCTTTGGCCCACGGCAAAGCAGCCTGCATGGGTCCCTCCTCCCTGTCCCCCGGCACATTGACGCGGGGGAGTGTGCCAGACGGTGCACATTTGATTAAATGGCATCCCCCATTCCCAGGGGATGCCAGATAACAGAGCTTTTACTGTAGATTAGTTGATCATTTTTCTTCTTTCTTAAAGCCCAGGAGGACCATTCTGAAGGACACCTGAGCAGCAAGGCCTATAGGTTTTGTTTCCTCATTAGACTGAAGCTCTTGGGAACAGAAACCACCTTGTTTGTGGCATAAAGCATCTGCCACGTTGTTTGCAACTACCGTGCAAACTGTAAGTGTCCCTTGTTCTGCCCACCCTCTGTCCACAGACACCAGCAAAGTCTGTGCAAGAAAACAGAGCAAACACTCCCTTCCCCGCAGGATGATGCCTCACACTGGCCTCAAAGAATGTGTGCAGGCTAAAAGCTGCAAGGGAACCCAGGTGCGCAGGGTGGGCTGCTCACATTTTTTTTTTTCTGTGCCACCCAGAGGGTGTTGCAACATGCCAGTGACTGTGTATTGCTCTCTCTGTGTCTGCAGGTTCCACTGAATCGGCACAAACTCCATTCGGTAGGCAGGGAGCGAACTGCCTAGCCCTTGAGTCTCCAACTCATCTGAGCCTGGGTGTACCATGGCTGCTTCAGAGAATGAAGGGTGAGTGGCCGGGTTAGGAGGGAAGATGCATTGTGCTCTGCAACAGGAGTGATGTAGCAATCCAAAGGTGACAGCAATAAGAAAAGCTGATCAACCCTTCCTGGCCCAGTGGAGACTAAATTTACTGCACTTGATGGCAGTGTCTCAACATAGACCATGCAGCTCCATGCCTTAGCTCACAATCTCCTTGCCTCTAAATGAGCAGCCATGTAGCAGAGTTGGCATGGTGGAAACCTTGAGTTAATTAGCACTGCTAAGTGATGGTGTTGATTAGCCTGCCTCCCTGACCAGAAGCAGACATGGGTACACTGCTTCTAGTTAGGAGTTGGGGGGAGGCGGTGATGTAATGCTGAACTCTGCAATGTGTTTGAAGGCACCATGACTGGACACAGTAAATTTGCTCTCTAAACATAGTCTCTGTTGCACCATCCAGTCCTTATCACGGGTGGCAGACCTGGGTAAATATCTGCTAGGGAGTTTCCCTAGTACCTCTGGGTGCCTGTAAACAAGTTCAGAAGCTGCTCCGACATGTTCATAGAATCATAGAAGTCGGGTCAGAAGGGACCTTGTAGATCTTCAAGTCCGACTCCCCTGCCTGGACAGGAGAAAAAACTGGGCTCAAATGATCCCAGCTAGGTAGGCATC